CAAGGTCTAGGGTTCGAAACCCTGTGGGTGTGTACTGTGAAGAGTCTTAAACTAGGACGAAACAGTTGTCCAGTACTACACGGTTTTCCAGTTATTCTCTAACTGACCTCAGATCTTGATGAAATTCTGTAATCAATCAAATCAAATCCCTGCAAACTAATATTTGAATTCTGATAGTGTTCAAAGATACTGTCGAAATATTTCAGTACAAAGTCCACATTTATGTAATGTTGTGCTCATGGTGACTACGGATACAACACTAAGCAGTACTGTTGAAGTTAGTTTATTTGACGCTTAGTTGTGACTAATCCTTTGGCTTGAGAGTCCCATTTTAGCTATTGTATAATTATTTTTAAATCATATAGCACATAAGTGCTATTAAACTTTTCCTTTTACTGTAAACAAGTGTGTATTTGGTGAATTTGGCTATAACAATCCGCTATAAAACTTTAAACCAGTTAAATCCCTACAGTCTAACACTTGATGCACCATAGTGACTGATTACAGAGTGAGAAGTCACCACCAATGGGGTTCACCTGGTCGAGTGTGAGGATAAATGCACGCCGATGATATTGGCTGACAGTATCGCTAAACATCACAAACTGACACAAGTTAGAATTTTTGGGTGATTGGATTCCGTCCTAGTGACTGAATGGTCAACAAAGTCATCTTGTTGCCTGAACGTTCTGGGTTCAATCCCTCGTGGGGTCATGGGTATGTAGTGTTGAAGAGCCTCAGAGTGAGTTGAAACAGCTATGCAGTACTCTGCGGTTTTTAATGGTATTCTAACTTATATCAGTCTGTGATCAGACCTGAAACCTACCAAATAACTACTAACTAATACGTGAGAATTTAAAGTGGCTGAATTATCATTATTCTTATATCAATGAATTATCCTTAGTTTATGTCTATGTTAACAGATGTTGCATTATGGTCTAAAAATAAATACAGCTTCTACGGATATGTAAAACCACTTTGAATATTGTGATGACTAGGTATTATAATCTTATCGTAAGCGGTAAATCAAACTTGCAAACTTGACTGATAGAATTCAGTCTGTGCCAAACAAAAGACTAAACGCATGACACTGGTTAGTGTCCAATCAAAAGTATCTAATACAGTCCTACAGGAGGTCAGTTGCGAGTTTGTAAAGCTCAGTGTTAACGTCTCTGACAACAGGACTGAGTGACAAGGGAAAAAATTTCAGAAGGGATATGAGTTCCTTCAAAGCTGTAGAGACACTCTGTTGACTGGTGAGTACCAACAAGCACGAAGCCTAGCTGAAGCAAGGCTTCCTCCTGATTGCCTTCAAACATCTAATAACAACAATTCAGAGTGTACCGTGATGGTTATCCACCTAGCATGATGGCCACATTACAGACTTGACTGATAGAATTCAGTCTCCACCAAACAAAAGACTAGGTGCATGATAATAGTTAGTGTTCATTCAAAATTAGCAATAGATCATACTAGTTAACGAAAATTTGCTGTTTAAAGGGTAAGAGTTAAACATTTCAAGTATTGGTTTTGTAGGGATTTTGTTTGATTGGATGGAGGATTTCATCATAAGCTGACATCAGTTAGAGAACCACTGGAAAACTTGCAGGGAGTCCTTCACAGCTGTTTCGTCCTAGTTTGGGACTCTTCAGCAGTGAGCCTAAAAAGCTCAGTGTTAACGTCTCTGACGACAGGACTGAGTGACACAGTGGGTGCCTACTGTGAAGAGTCCTAAACTAGGACGAAACAGCTGTCCAGGACTCTCAGGTTTTCCAGTGGTTCTCTAACTGATGTCAGCTCATGATGAAATCCTCCATCCAGTTAAACATTTCGTCGGAAAATGAGTTCTGAACATATTTTTTTTAGGGTGAGTATTCTTCAGTTAATTATATGTTAGCATAATAGATATTTTTTCGCTCTAAGTATATTTTGGATATGCTACGTAGGTTATAATTAAGAAACACTTTCCTATAAAACAAAAAACAACTGATCCCATTTGTAATTGAAAGTTTAAAATAATGATATTGAAGAGTGCCGATAGTGATTGGCCTACATTATACCGGCTGTTTTTTTCAGTTAATATCAAGAGAGATAATGTTTGTAATGAGTAAAGTTAGTGTGATTTAAGTGAATTACTAAGTAATTTGGCGCACTGATACAAAATTATTTGTTTTTTTCCCATACAAGGCAAAAAAATAGTTTTCTCTTTCATCAGCGATCAAAAAACTAACTGTTTCAACTCTGCTAATTGAAGTAGACGTCTATTTCTCCACGCAGTTTTGATCAGTGGAGATGGATAACAGTCGTCAAACATTTCCTGAATTTGTATTATATTTTTCTCTTCACTGAATTTTACAGAAAAATGCTGACTGTCTGGTAGTGGATTTACTCAGTAGCTATCCAATTATCTTTCATCATGAATTAGCTATTAAATTGTTTGACAGTATGATTTTTAGCATATACGTTAATTAGTTGCAAAAGTATTGGAATGAAGTATAACCAACGTCAGTAACATAACTTATTGTCTATTGAAATAATGAGGCCTGCTAACTGTTCCAGTAAGCAAAGATATAGTTAAACGAAAAGAGCACATTGTTCGTTTAATAAAACACTGGATAATTAATTATCAGAGGTAAATCAGGCCCGTCAAAGTAGTACAGTTTATTGTTTTATTTTACTTCTTTGCCGCTTTCAGGCTTTGTGCTTTGAAGTTTCAGTAACAGTGGTGTTTATTTTTTACGGGGTGAGGATATTAATCTCATACCTAACCCTACCTCTTTACCAGGATTACTACCGGCTAAAGGAGGTTTAAGAGTGAATTGGGCTCGAGATCGAACCTCAAGCCACATGCCCTATTGGTTGTACATTAAAGAGGTATAATTTTGAAAGTTTCTTTCTCTAATGTTCGCATTTATTATAGGTGGACTTAAATACTTAGTAATTTAGAAGGTTGTAAACCAAGGTAGGTTAGTTTAAATCATTCTTTTAAGATTAGATAATAATTAAGACGATTTCATGAGGTTTTATGCTTGAAATAAAACAACCCTGGGATATTCGCAGGATAAAAGGAGCTAACTTTTTTTTTCAAGTCTTTTCACCAGCTGCTAACAGCCTTAATAATTCACATAAGTTATTGTAAAAACAAGAAATAAATAAAATACTCCATAATTATTTCAGCTTAAAGGACATACTTGTGGAACAAGAGATATGAGTACAAGATTCTTAATAATCTAAAAACCAGAGTGTATTTATACATAATGTAATAGAAAGTTTGAGAGGAAAAGGTGGAGATAAAAAGAAGTGGTAAGTAAAAGTAAAATTGCTACGTAAACAAACAGTTCAGTGAATTGGAAGAAAAGTAATAATGAGTTCAACTCAGTGAGTTGTGATCATAAACAAATTTGTAACGCAACATACAAACACAGCCTCTTTGTATATATACAGATTTTATACAAATCTTTTGATAGCAGTGGCTCCCGAGAAGTTATGTAGCCAAGGTTTCTCTGTATATTGACTATTTTCAAGGCGTGATTGATCTCATTTGGGTGACCCGTGTCAATCACATGCTTGGCGATTGTACTTGCAAACATCTTTTTCGCTGTTCAAGGGATGATTGTTGAAAACATGCTCAGAAAATCTAGCAGATGCTTTGTTCTCAGTCCTTTTTACGTATTTACCACTGCAAGTGTATGTGAACTAGTGAATACAGTTGGAGTTGATACTAGCAGGATATTTATTTGCTTTGGATTATATTATTGACCATTTCACGCTGTAGAGGAATATCAGTCTAGCAGCGGAAATTGTCGTTTCAATGCATCTTTGATTCTTGTCAATGCCTGATCCTCCTTGTACACCAGACGAATAAAAACTAGTTTCTTTTTTAGACTGATACAGACTTCAGTTTGTACGTTTCTTTTCTTCCATATTTCGGTATGAAATTCTTCGGATATTCATTCATCATACGATTCTTTTCAATAATCGTGAGTTCCTCATCAATCACTTTTTCTGAACACATCGCTGTCACTCTACTGAACAGCATTCTGACCAAATTCCGTTTGTAACCGGTTGGGCGAAAACTTTGATAACCCAAGTATTCAGTTACTCACATTTCTTTTCAGTAGATTGTTTCTTCAATGGTCGAATCATTTCTTTGTCTTATACTAAGATCCAGATAGTTGAACTGGTTGTTGAGTTCAAAATCTATTGTAAACTTAGTGTGAGGATGAGCCATACTCAGTTTTTCAAACATAACTGATGCATATTTCATATTACTGTGAAAAAAGGATCATCAGCAAACCTGCAGTAACATGTAGTCTTTTCAATTTTTGTTTTATTTGAGTCTGTTCAAGATGGGCCATGAATATGTCTGCAAAAACAGGGTCCAAAGACAAACTCATAGCCACTCCATCAATTTACTGGTATCGTTGTTTATTGAATTAGAACCGAAAACTCTTTGTAGAAAACCGTAAAAACTGTTTTAATTCATTCTTAGGAAGAGAAAGTAATTCAGACTTCTGGCAAATGACTTTGACTGTTTCCTTAATGGGCATGCTTGTATACATTGAACAAACAGCATTTGTGCTAGAAGTCTGTCTGGAATATTCAGCTTATTCAGTTCATACGAAAATTCAAATGAATCTCAGATACCACGATCTCTCAACTTTCTTCGGATTGGTTCCAGCTTTTGTACCAATCAATTGGGTACCTTATGGCATGGTGATTTCACCACTGACATTATTTCAATTGATTTTGGTAGATTACACGTGAATGACATTCGCCAATCTCTTAGTTTAAGATCTTTATGGGTATTGCTGTCAATTAGTCCTTTTTTAAAGATCATAAAACACATGAAGTCTTTTCATCCTGAAAATATGTTCGTTCTTGCTTTGTTCAAACTAATCAAGGGAACTGTTCGTATAAAACATCAAGATAGTTTTCACTATTGAATCATACTCTAAATGTTTAGTAATCCCTAGACAACTAATGGTACATGTTGAACTTACCCACATTCTTCAGAACACTGACTAATTGGAAAGTTTTTTGATTCACCACCAGGCCATATAGGTCGTGCACGCATTGTTAGTTTACCGCCTTGAAAATCTCCAACCAAACGATAATGATATTGGCCAGTATATGGATCACGTGCATAATTATATATTGAATATTGTCCATATCCATCACCATTTTCATCGAAGGCAACGTAATTACCATAGTTGTCTATAAGAGATATAAGAAAAGAAAGAGCATGACTGAAACTGTGTTTATTCTGCGATTAATTAACTAAATCAGTTTCCACTTCAGGTTCTGAAGAGGTTCTGACTTCTAATTCAAGTCCACTAGTAAACAAATTTATAGTGTATGAAAGAGAAATTTATTTGAACATGTTGATTCCCAAAGTGATGGTGGGATAGAAAAGAATCAGCTGTCCGATTTGCTTAAAAAGACAATCTTTTCTGTCATTTTGTTGCTTCTACAGTGGTCTTGATATGGTTCGCTGATTAAAGTATGTCAGTTTTTACTAATAGTCAGATACAAGTCATTTTTTGGGAAATATTTCCTACTCGGTTTCGCTTCGTGTAATCTTTATTATTCTTCTTATTGTTATTATTGTATTTACGCGTGACTAACACTCAAATCACATGTATTTTGCCTAAACGCACCACTTTAGGATGGTGCTTCATAGGTGTAATTGCATAGATTTTCAAAATAATTTCTTTTGATGAAATATCAGGTATTTTGAGGAATTTCACCTACCATTATATACTACTGTTCTGCAGTACGCATCCACCGGGGTTCAAATGCAGGACCTTGTGGTTACAAGATAATCTGTCCAGCACTCTCTCTTGTTTTCCAGTGGTCCTGTAACTGATATCACTCCTTAATCAAGCCTAAAATAAATCAAATACCTACAAATTAACTCCTGAAAATTAATCTAATGTTTGCTAGTGAATGGCTGAAGGACTAGGTTTCCTGGTGTTCTAATCAAAAGTCTTGACCAGCCTGTTCCACTTGGTCGGGAGTGAGAGCAAATATTTACTGATGACATTGGCTGGTGGTCACGCAAGAATCACAAATTGATAGAATTGGAATTCATGAGCACCTGAGTCGGGTCCCGGTGACTGAATGGTCTACGAGCCTGACTTTTAACCGGCAAGTCCTGGTTTCGAACCCCCTGTGAATATGTGCTTTTGAAGTGTCACAAAGTAGAATAAAATAGCTGCTCAGTAATTCCTGGTTCTTTCCTGATCCTCTAACTGATATCACCCAATGGTGAACCTTGAAACAAATCAAATCCCTACAAATTAACTCTTCAACATTATATAATAGCTAAACATCTGCTTCGCCATTTTTGGGATCAAATTTCCAATTCCATAGTTGAGTCTATTTTCAATAACTCCAAATAGAAACACTGCTTTGAAGGGATTTTCCATGATTACTTATACTACAATATCACTTCTCAGACCAAAGTTTATTGTAAATGCTCACTTTCCTTATTTATAGATTTAAAATATGAGACCACTATTCATCATTATACTACCATTGTTGCTATGTTACCAATAAACTAAAATAAAAGAGACGGTTTATTATTTCCTTTGTCTTCTCCGTGATTTATTAGGAATTGAAAGGTATGATAACAGTACAATAACTAGTCTTTAGAGTGTTTTCTGTTGGCATCGGTTTGTGACGATGACTTCCTGGAAGCGGATACATCCCAAAAAATTCAACCAATGATTTTTTTTTGATTAAAGATAACAGTGTATTTTAGTTTTATCTTGGAATTTATAGACACACTTTTGTTTTTAGCGGTGAACAAGGTTTTTCCCATCATCAGTTTACATCAGTACACATAGTTTTCCCTTAAATAACTATTGAACTAAGTGTATGTTTGCCTGCACATAAATGACAAGTGAACCAAAGCAAGTTCTTTTTTTTACCGTGATGTCAGAGAACAGGAAATAGACAAGTTGCGTTTAAAAATTTAAAAAAAAGATAATAATAAAACAATCTTTTTATCATTAAGGTAGACCAATAAATATGTACGGTATTGCTGCAGGTAAACGAGGCGTAGATGTAAACTTATGAAAATGGTATTGACTACATAATCAATTATCTCAATGACTATATAAATTTTAAAAAAATGGTGAAACTGAGATGAAATAATCATTCTGCACAAACAAATCCATTTTGTTTTCCAATATAGACTAATGCACATTTGGAACATTTACAATTTAGCGTGATTAACATTTAACCCTGTTGATTTGTTCATCTTAGATAATTAAATCCACTTGTTTGAATTCTCTCTAACTTCTCCTTTTTAAGTTAACCATAGCTGTCTGCCTACATTGAAGAAGGTGTTATCATCTGGACAGGTACAATAAAGTTGTACAACTGATATCTTGATGCTGTCTTCTTCTGTATTCCATTTGGCTGTGAAATCAAGTCAGCTTTTAAAAGTTAAGCTGTCCGGTGAGTGACTGCATAGTAAAGGAAATAAGTTATATTACTTACTAATATAAATATACATGAGAGTGTAATTTCATGTAAACCAATCTGTGAATATTGAATGGTAATAATTATTAACTCATTGATAAAAACATTCGCCTATTGGTAATGCTGGAACTGAGTTATCCAGGATAAATTTTTCCTTACCAGGCCATGAGTCACACTTATTTTTTGAGGATTGATGACACTATCCAGTTTCGCCAAACTCATCAGAAATATATCTGGTTCAACTCAGCTCGAACAGCAAAATCAGTTTAAAGCAACTCAGTTTCATACTAGCTACTTGGATGAACTAGTAACACATTAAATAATCGCATTCACGATTTGTAATTTACACTTTTCGAGGAGGTGAAATTTTAACAGTGATCACATGATCCCTGCTTATAGTTAATTCGAAAGATGAATGCATTCATTTATGCAATCTCTTTACAAACTTCTTGATGTCATTTTTGATTAAATTGGAAAGTTGATGAGTTACATTTGCCTTAAAATGCCTTCATTTGGATTAAATTGACTTCTAAAACACTTTACGGATTAATTTGTCTGCTGAAAAAGAAACTACGTAACCGAGGAGTTAAAGCTTTTTATATTGTTTAAATAAATTGTGTTTTGAAGCTATCCGTCTACTAAACTAGGCTGACATATAAGATCTACTTTGTTGTTATCTATGAATATACTGAACCTATGGCGAGACTGAAATGTCTCCTGAATTGACATAATTGTTTTGTGGAAAGTAAGTTAGAATAATAGCATAAAAAATATTTTTTTAAATGTTTTTATCAGTTGTCTTGATAGGCATGTATGTATATACATATGGGTATTGAAGGGATAGAGGTTTGTAACCCATCATGTCATCATCTTATATGATCTGAGTGGTTGAATTGCATAGCTTTTATTGTTCATCTAGACAACATCTTCAGAACTAAATTCACACAACTAATAAAACATACGGTTTTTAATGTAAACATTCTCATTTTAACTGTCAGAAAATTTTTCTTTTAATCAATCAACAATGTCTGAATAGAATCCGTGATGTTTGCAAAGGATGTTTTATTAAATGTACTCTTTTCTTTTCAAACAGGAATTAGCTAAAGAATAGACGACTATTAGGAAGCATGAAGAGATGCCTTCAGAAAAAGCAATTAAAATGAAATAGAGTGAAAAATATTTTACAGTCCACCTCATGGATTCATGGGATTAAGAATGATAATTTAATGGTCCCTACTTCTAAATATCCTTCTGTTGAAATCAGAGTATAATGAGTTTTTTTTGAAAAGTACGGACCTTTAAAACATCACTCATTACTGTGAATTTCAAATATTTTAGTAGATATTCGATTGTGTTTGTTTTAAGGCTGAAATTTGAAGGAAAGGTTATACGGTGGCTTGTTAAGGTCACTGGGCTACTTAAATTTTCTATTCATCAAAATGCATCATTATATTTACTCCGTTTCTTATTGTTTCAATCACTGAATCACAACTATGATTCCCAGTGTTTACTAACCGACAATTTGAAATAAGTTTCTGTGTATCACTTGGAATTTTTCGATGGAAATGGAGGAGGAGCATTGTGGAGTAGTGTTGGATTATGCTTCGGATGGAATCATACTGCTTCTGATGGCAAATTATTGGTTTTTATACTATTTGGAGATTCTGCACAAGTAGAAACCTTTCTATGAAATTCATTGAAAATTCTCTATTGTACCCAAATGCATTTTACAGAATAGGGCTATTATTATTGTTTTCATATTCTTTTCGAGGAATCTGTCAACTAAGCCTTACCCTAGTGAATATATAAAGTGATGAAAGTCGGGGTACATAGAATAACCGAATGGAGTTATGCAGTACAAATAGAAATCATCTGTGAGAAAGTGAGGAAAGGAATCAGAGTTTAAAGGCCATTATATATTGATGCATTGATCCAAGAAGTAAACCTTTTATGATGGCAATTAATAAAATAAAATTTGAATTTAATTTCCTGGACACATAAAATTAACTAGAGAAGCTTATATTGTTAAGGCTGTAGCCATGAAAAGAAATTCTAATTCCACATCATATAGAGAGGCTTTGCTGAAGCTGAAACAGGATTTTGAAATGTGTCTCAAGTGGTTCTGAGTGTCATTAGTTCACGGTGTGTTTTCTCATTTAGGACCTATTTTCACCCTCCTTTTTGCTAACCAGATAGTACATTGTTAATGAGAGTAATTCTCGAGCCGATATAATGTACGTGAGATATATTCAGCTCCACGGAGGAAATTAAACTGATGTATACACATTGATGTGCCTTAGTTCTTCATACTGCTATTCACATGATGACAAATATTGATCGAAGCCTAGTAGCATAGTTTCATTTATTTAAACATTCAAGTGACATATTTTGGAGAATATTCGGCACACTGTCAACCCTCAATTATAGATTTACCAGTAAAATCTCTCTGACGCCTTCATGAAACGTTAAATTGACACTTTTGGTTTCGCATTACTGTTCTTGAATTTGAGTGCGAAACCATTTTTCATTGAAGATCTTAGAAAAATTTGCTGGTCTACTTCAAAAGTTTCAAGAATTAATATTCCTGTGAACCTACTGTACGATTTCCATAGTTGTCTTGTCTAGTTTTACCATTTTGACTCTTGATAAGGAATTCATCTCACTGTTCCAACAGGGAAGTAAGTTATTGCACTGAGGACTTATACTTTTTCAAAAAGAAAGTTTGT